CGTTAGCGAATCCCAGCAAAAACTACGCGACACAGTGCGTGAAAAAAGCGACGTGACGACATCCGTCCGCTCCTGCTCTCCTCCCCCCAACTGCCCGCGCTGGCTCCGGTGCTGGCGCCGTCGCCTGTCCACCGCCGCTCCGCAGCGGCGGCCCCGCCCATCACCGCCTCCAGTCGGTTGGCTAGGCGGGGGTCACCACCGCTGATTAACGGCCTCCGGGGCCCACTCACCGGCTGCTGGCGACCGAGCGGCGCCGTCGACTCGGCCGACAGCAACGCTCCCAGCGGCGCCGTCGCTGCCAGACGCGTACGAGATGGTCCCGCGCTCTGGTACCGAAGCACACCCGGCCCGGCAGCGGCGTTCGTCGGGCCGCGCCACTTTTTGCCGCGGCGCGTCGCTTTTTGCCGCGCATGCCGCGCAAAAAACGGCCCGTCGCTCGCGCCCCGAAATGTGACTAGATTTTTGGCACGGTTCGCGGCGCGCAGTTTTATTTGGAGGCGGGCGGGCCGGTGGCGGCGATCGGCGCTCGCGTGCTCACCTGTCCTGGGCAGGCGGAGATTTGAACTTGCGTCGCTCGAATTTGTGCTATGAGGCAGGTAACGTAGTTGGCCTGGAGCAGAGAAATCATGTCAAACATGCCAGACAAACAGCACGACGACGCCAGGCAGTCGCACAACGCACGTTCTCCACTCAAATTAACCCGTCATTTTCGCCCATATTCACAGGCCAAACGGCCAGCGTGCACCTGACAGAACGACAGAATGACAGAATACAGAAACCTGGCAAAACCTGACAGAACAATACAGAACACCGCGACGCTATCGCGACCCATCCCGCGACCAACGGCACAGAACGAGCAACACGTCAGCCGCCCAGCGCCCCGCTGTGTAAGGGCGCGCTCCCTCCGGACGGCTCATCACCCCCCGGGGCACGGGGAACGCGCGCCGATCGGTCGCGCCGGCCGCCCGCCCGACCGGCCGGCCGGTGCGAACGACGACCGGCAAACAGCGCGGACGCGCGCCGCCGCCGCCACGCACGGCCGGCGCCCGCGGCGCACCGCTTCAAAACAGATTGCGACACGGCGCCGAGCGGCGGCGGCCCGCCGTGCAGCGGATGACGTCATCGGCCGCCGCCGGGCGCGTGCCCCGAGCCGCCCGCTGGGGAGCCGCGGGCGCCGCCGGCGGCCGGCCTCCGCTGAGCGCCCTGTGCCGGCCGGCCCACCGACCGACCGACGCGGCGCCGGCCAGCCCACGCGCGTTGGCGACGGGGCGACCCGGTCCGCGCTGGCTCGGCGGCCGCCCGGCGGCGACGCTCATTGCTATGCAGCGGCGCAGCGGCGGCCGGGTGCCCTGTCGTCGCCGGGAGGCGGGCGGAGGCCGGCACGGCCGTGCGGGGCGGCCACGCGTCCGATGGCGACTGCATGCGGGCGCAACCGCGAGCAGCACTGCGCAGGCGCAGTGACCGGCCGCCAGCAGCCGACCGAAGACGAGCCGCGGCCGCACATGCCCGAGGAGCTGAGGCTGGCAGTTCACGGGTCGGACCGGAGGTGGCGGCAAGGATCGTCATCAGAAGTCCCCACGTCTTCGCCTCATCGGATCAGTGCCGCCCAGGCTTCTATGCGTGTTCAGCTTCGTGTCAGCGGACGATGAACAGACATGAGTGGAGAGAAAACGCGCAGGTCAGGGGACACGTGTTCCACACGGGTCCGGGGGCAGCAGCACGGGATGTCGCTGGTCGGCGCCCGCCAGCACGTGCCATCTCATGGAGCCACTGCAATGCTGTAGGAACGAAACACCCGAAGCTGCAGCGAGAGCGGTCGCATGTCGAGATCACCCAAGATCACCTACTTCTAATCAACCTAACCGTGGGTGACTTGTAATCGATGTTTACGAAGTACATTCATGAAAGGTGGCAACATGCATTTGACGAAATAATAAAATATAAACAAAATGATAGTGAATGCGAGTGTTGATGGCCCCACAGACGGCCACATACATGCTGGCTGTCGCGACGCCGGTAACGAGAGGCTGAGATGCTGACGGAACCTCCGCGTCACCTTCTTTCCCCGCCGCCGGGCCGGGCGGCCGTCCACCGGTTGGGTCTCATCCACGCCCTGCCCTGGGGCGGCAGCGGTCGGCTGCAAGCCCACCAGCTGCCTGGCTCGCCCCCCCCCCCCGCCCCCGCGGCCCTGCAGGCCCACCAGCTGCCTGGCTCGCTCCGCCCCCCCCCCGCCCCCGCGGCCCTGCATGCGACAAGGGCGACGCCAACCCGCTGGGGCAGCTTAAACACTGGGACGGCACTTGGCCATTCATGCAAATGCATGGCTGCGGCCTGTGCACGCTCTTCTTTCCACATCTTCCCAAACTAATCACAGTCTCAACTGGCGTTCAGACTACGAACCGTGCAACCTTCTCACTCGCATCAGCAGAACAAACATAGGCCTAGTGCCTGCCATCAGTTTGAAGTGCAGGAGGTGATACCCAAAAACAAGGCTAAAGTGCCGATCTTTGGTCGGAATGATGGCGGAATCTTGTCCTAGTCAAGACTATCAGTCAAAAGCCTTGGTTTAGGCTGGGTCCAGCATGCCTGAGCGCGTAACCAGAGCATATTTATAATGTGGAAATAAATCATTACGAAACCACCGTAATAACACTGCCACACATACGCGTCATAAGTGAAAGGTTTAGAGCAAAGTTTGAAGGTTGCATGGGTGAGTGTGATCTACATAAGTTATGACATTCAAATGCATTGACATGCATCGTAACAAAATTTCATCCGGTCCAAGGTTACGACATACTTTAGAAAGGCACAAACGTGGGCTCTAAAATTCGGTCATGAAGCATCTAGAGTGCCTGAATGGAAGCATCGCCAATGGTATGCGGCCACGCCACCGACGGCGGCGCTGAGGCAGCAGCGTAGCTTTGGACCGCCAGGCCAGGCAACACGACCAAATGGTTTCAATGTATCTTCCGCGCCCACTTGGCTTAGGCGACAAACGGGCCTCCGTGTGAGAGACTCATATGACACAACTCGGGCCGCAAGTCACGCTTAGTCCATGTCCAAATGCCGAAGCTCCGACTTTGAGATCAGGTTCAGAGTTTCGCAAAATGAGTTGGGGACGCATAATTATTGTTTAAGTGAGGGGAAGGGGGGGGGGGGGCTGGACCCCAACTGACTATAACGCTGTAAGTTGGCAATACGACCAAAATAATATGCGTCATGATACCGTGCCAGGTCTTTAAAACGTACCTTCTCCCGAAACAATGAACACTTTGAGCATTAAGATGTTTATTAACACCTTACACGGGGGACTCGAGAACAGAGTCACTTGGAGGGAGACGTAATCACGAGGAACATTCACGGATGGAGGCAGGGTGGAGAGAGTAGCAGACTCGCCCTCCCTGGACAGACGGAGGTAGGGTGGAGAGAGTAGCAGACTCGCTCTCTCTGGACAGACGGAGGTAGGGTGGAGAGATTAGCAGACTCGCTCCCTCTAGACAGGCGGAGGTACGATGGAGAGAGTAGCAGACTCGCCCTCCCTGGACAGACGGAGGTAGGGTGGCGAGATTAGCGGACTCGCCCTCTCTGCTAATAAGTGACATCAGCCTTGTGGTGCCACATAGGACTGCCATAAAAAATCCCGTTCATCACACACCATCCCAACTGTTCACACAATCCTCGCCACCCTAAAAGTCCCCACGCACTAAATCTATACATGATCTGAAACCCTTTTTGTCAGGAACTTTTGCCAGGAACAACACGAGCCGGCAAAACGGCCCGATGTCCTGCACACACCGACACGCCGCGTCCCTGCCCCTGAGCCGTGCTTGGTGTCCAGCCAGCCGTCCGCCATCACCGTCATAGCTGCCGGCCGCCGACGGCCGGCTGGGTTATGGACAGCTAGTGGGCTGCTCCCGGCGCGCCACGCTGGGTCGGCCGCCGCGCCGCCGCCGCCGCCAGCGGGGGACGGGCGCGCCGCGCCGGCCCGGTCGGCAGCGGGAGCGGAAGCGCCCCGCCCGGCGCCGGTGGCCAGACACCGCCCACCGCCACACGGCCGCGCCACTCCAGCCGTGGCACGCGTGGCCCGCGACGGCGGCCATGCGCGCTGTTCCGCGGCAAACAGGCGGAGAGGCTGAGACGTATGTCGTCCGCAGCGGCGGCGATCGGCGCGTTCGTCACCAGCCAGCCGCTTGCGCAAGAGCCGACCGTATCACGGCGGTGGTTTGTTTGCTGTTGGACAGCGAGCCGGGCGGACTTCCGATCGGATCGGTCGGATTGGGTCGGGACGGACCGGGTCGGGGTCGGGTCGGGTCGGGTCAGGTCGGGTCGGGTCGGATTGGACCAGGCCGGGTCCTACAGGGTCGGGGCCGGGCTGGGCCGGGCCGGGCCGAGCCGAGCCGGGCCGGGCCGGGTCGGGCCGGGTCGGGCCGGGTCGGGGCCGGGTCGGGCCGGGTCGGGCCGGGTCGGGCGGGCCGGGCCGGGCCGGGCCGGGCCGGGCCGGGTCGAGTCGGGCCAGGCCGGGCCCGGGGGTCGGGTCGGGTCGGGTCGGGTCGGGTCGGGTCGGGTCGGGTCGGGTCGGGTCGGGTCGGGTCGGGTCGGGCCGGGCCGGGCCGGGCCGGGCCGGGTCGGGCCGGGCCGGGCCGAGCCCGGGGTTCGGGCCGGGTCAGGCCGGGTCGGGCCGGGTCGGGCCGGGCCGGGTCGGGTCGGGCCGGGTCGGGCCGGGTCGGGCCGGGTCGGGCCAGGCCGGGCCGGCCGGGCTGGGTGACGCCTCCAAGCGGGGCCGGGGCCGACCGCTGTGCTCACCTGGCAGTGGTCACCGGCGACCGCTCGTGAGGCGGCTCAGCGGCCAGCGCCGCACGGCCAGGCACCCTGCAACAGTCGGGAGACGCCGGTCACACACTGACGCCGGAGCGCGCGGCGCCGCACAGCACGGCACGAGGTCATCGGCTGGTTGCCGGAGCCTGGACACCACATGAGAGGTCACCGGCGCGAACCGGGGGGGGGGGGGGAGGGGGCGCGGCGTGGTGCGGCGCGCGTGGCCCTGCGGAGAGAGCGGGGTCGCGGGATGGCGCAGCCGGTCACCCGAGATCGAGAGCCAGACTACAGGGAAAGGAAAGCGTGCGGGAGAGCGGAGAGCTTCGCCGCCACGGCTCGACGCAGAGCCACGGCCCGGGAAAAGGGAGCGTGGATGGGCAGCCGGGCTGGATGACGCTGACTGGATGAGAACAAACGATCACCACAGACAATGGCTGCGCGAGCCCACATGTGGCTGCAACAAAGTTATTTCATCATCGAAATCTTTTGAAATAAAACCATCGAAGACCCTTCAAGGCATGTGGATGTTGTGTGGCTGTCACCACGCCGCTGGAGCCTGCGATTTTCGGACGTGCGGAAGGGCTGGGACAATGCGGGACGACACGGACGTTATTCGGTACAACACTGTGGTGATTTCCCAGCGATTTTCCCGCCGCAGGCTGACGCCAGAGAGCGCCGCGTGCCCACTTCGCGACGGAGCTCCGGCGAAACATCGGCGCACCGGACGGCGGCGAGGAAAACTCACGGGACCAGCACGCAAAGCCGCGTTTTTCGCGGCCCATTGTGCAAAAGGAAAGTAACCGTTTGGATAGCGTGGAAGGACGTCAGAGGTTCGAACCGGTCCGGTCAGGTCCCGCTGGCCGCCCGATACAACTGCAGGTGATCCACAGATTACTTTACGCCGCATTCCCCGTTACTTACGATCGCTCGCTGCGGTCGCACGTATCCACGCCGTCACCAGCAGACCCCCGCGGAGCCAGCGTGGGCGACACAAACACCACTGCCCCCAAAACGAGCTTTCCATCACCCTCCTAACGAGCCCCCACCGCCCGGCAACCTGAGCACCCCTGAGCACCGGAGAGCACCAACCCTGAGCACCGGAGAGCACCAACCCTGAGCACCGGAGAAACAGCACGGCCCGACTGTTCTCAGACAAGATTTTTGAGGACAACTGACACCTCTAATGTACGGTTCCTACCCATCAGTTTTGACTTTTTTCGTGGGTTGGGTCTCTCATTCGTGGAGTTTGAATTTTCCAATGACTTCTGTCTCCTTCGCGGCTAAGGCAAAGACATTCAGGTCTCACCTCGGACAAACACCACACCACACCAAGCCCTGCCCTTCAGCACGGCGTCGACAGCGCTCCGCCAGCCGGCGCCGAGCCGCCTCCCGCAGCGGAGCCGCGGCGACGGCCCGCCCCCGCGGCGGCGCGCGCCGCTCGCGCTCGGTCCGGCTGGGCGTACGGGCCGGCCAGCCGGGCCGCCGCCGGCGCCGCCAGCCGTCTCTGCGCGGCCCGGCGCGCCGTGCAGGCGTGCCGTGCCGGTGCGGCTGCACCGGCGCCGGGTCCGGGGGCAGGGCGCGGTCGGCGCCGGAGGCCCGCCGCCGCCAGCCGCCCCGGCCCGTGACGGACGGCGAGGTGACGCGCCGCTGAGAAAGTCGCCCCTGACGTTTGAATGGGGGTGCCGCGTCCGCAGGGTTACGCGGATTGCGGTGCCCGGTTCGTTTTGTTCGCGATGTGAATGTGCGGACGGCGTAATTGCGGTGTAAGCACGTCTGAACGGGCGCTGCGTGCGTGCGTTACGCTTGGGCAGGTTCTACGTTCGCCGTGTCAACCACCAAGCGACTGGAACATCCGCACGATTGGCAAACACTGATCAAGACAAGGCGGATCGCAGCCGAACCCCGCCGCGACCAACCAACACGGCGAACTCGTCCTCCAAACAGCCGCGCGTCACGACATCCCGGGGGCAGGGGTGCCCCCCGACCGCACCCGTCAGCAAGCTCTCACCAGCCCGCCAGAGCGCGCTCGCCCCGATAGCGGCCCTGTGCGGCGGGCGGCTCGTGTCAACACGGGCCGCCCGGCCGTCGGGCAAACAGGTGCCCGGCCGGCCAGCCGCGGGCAGCGGGCCGCCAGGCGGCCGGCGCTCAAACGGCCGACGACAAACAACGGCGAAACGGGCGAGCCAACACACGGTTATACAGCCCGAGCGGGTGGCCGACGACTGGAGTGTACTCGGCGGAGGCGGGGCGGCCGCGCGAGCAGGGACATTGGCTGTGATTTGGCGGTCCGCCCGCGGAGGGAGCCCTGAGCCAGCGTCAGCGCCGCGCGGGGCGAGCGGAGGGCTGAGGCGCGGGCCGCTCCGCGCGATCGGACGCGGCCGAAAGCCCGCTCCGCCATGAGCTGCCGGGAGGCCGCAGAGAGATCGACACATTTCGGCTAGACGAGAGCTTACCAGCCGTGGCCCAACGACCGCCGACTACGCCCCTCTCGGTGGTAATCCACACACCCCTCTCCCGTCCGCCCGTTCGACCTGGGCGACCGGTCCGCGGCCCGGCCGGGGGCGTCTGCGGCGCGTCAGATGTTGACTGACCGGCGCAGCCTTCCGTGCAACGCATCGCGGCGGCGATCGAAGCCGAGTCACGCCACGCCAGCCGAGCCCGGCAGCTACCGGGGACGGCGGCGGGCGCGCACACGACCGGAGCGCCGCCGCCGACCGCCCAGCAGGCCGCCGCGTGCGCCGAGTGCCGCCCGATGGCACGCGATGACCCATATGCGGGCGGAGAGCACGCGGCAAGGGACTGGGCAACCGTGATTGGGGGAGGGGGAGCGAGTTTCCTGCAGTTGGGCGGCCACGGCGCAGGCTCGCGCGGCGACGCGGCCGCACATCGGAGGTGCCTTTGAGCAGCCGCGCTCCAACCGACCCCTGCCCGGCCCGGTGACGAAGCCGTGAGTCAGCCGGCGCCGGCCACGCCGTGCGTGCGCGCGAGTGCGCTGACACACCTGCCCTGCGGCCCGGAAGGGCGCCCGCCCATGCGCCACTCCAGCCGAAGCCGGAGCCGGAGCCGGAGCCGGAGCTGGCTGGCCGTCGGTCGGGGGTCCGGCCGAGCCGGAGCCCATGTCACCGTGGCCCGCTAATCCGGCACTGAATGGCCCTCCAAGGCTGCGGCGCGCGTCTGCCCGGCGGGACAAAGCGGCGACCGGCAGCAAATTACAGGCCGCTTCGGACCGCCCGTCGCTGCGCAGATTGCGCACACACGCCGCGTTTCACGGGCCACGCCGCGCCATTCACACATCGTCGCCTGTCGACGCGGACCTCAGAGCGGTGGCGCGGCCGTCTCACGCGCGAGCTGGCATCGGAGCGACGCGTCGCCGGCGGGGCGCGCCGCGCTCCGGGCCTGCCGGGTCTCCGCGGCGGGCGAGTCCGCCGGGTCCGCCGACATAGGGCTGAGCTGGAGTCTCGGCGGCGGCGGGCGGCATGCCACCTCATGATAGGGTCAGCCGTCGCGCTCGGAAACATCGAACACGGACGAACCGGGTGCAAGCAGACGGCCGGCCGCCGCTCGGATTTCTGGGCGTCCGCCGCATGACCGTGCACACCTCTAGTCCGGGCGGGTTCCCAGCGGCCGTGCGCACCTCGCCGGCGCTCCAGTGAACGGGATATGGGGCCGTCGGTCCTCCGGCGCCGGCTGGCGGGCACCGGAGCCGGCAGTTTTTCTTGTGTCACCGGCCTCGAACCGCTGCGTAACGGCGGCACTCGCGCGAGTCCGCCGGCCGTGACGCCACCGTCACCCACCCTTCCGTGGGGTGACGCGCGCGCGCACGCGCGCCACCGCCGATAGCCGCCAAGCCGACCGATTGGCGTAACAAGGTCAGCGACCGCGCGCGCGCGCTGGCCGGCCGCGGGCCGTGGCCAGAAAAACGGCGCGCCGGCCGCGGGCAGCGGCGCTCCGCCGACCGCACAGAAACACACAGACCTGAGCGCCCTCTCAGGAGAGACGCCCCTGAGCGACGGCGCAGCGGCGGGCAGCCCACGGAGGCGGCGCTCGCGCCGGCCGCCGGCAGCGGCCCGGTCGGTGCCGTGGGTCAAGGTCGATGCGACCAGGTCAAGCGACCGTCCGCCCGTCGGTGTCCTTCAGACCCACGCGGAAGAGGTGCGGGGCCGAGGTCGCCCTGGCGGCGCCGTCCGCAACTGGGCGGGCGGCGGGACCCGGCCGCCAGCAGGCCGCCTGACCTGGCCTGACCCGCAGCCCGGCCGGCGGCGGGACGCCGGCCCGTCCGGACGCGATTCTCCCCCCCCCCCCCCGCCACCGCACGAATGCAAATGCTTCTGGTCCGGCTCCGTGTTCGCGACCTCTGCGAAGGGCAGGAAGCGATCCGCCACCCGATAAGGCGGCCAGAGCCGCATGATTTATGTATCGGAGCGGGCAGCCGGTGTAGCTAGCCGGCACAATAGCCGCCGGGCGACTGGACCGACGGCGGCGGCTTGTGCAGGATCGGACCGGACCTACGCGGCGCTAAGATGTGGACTCCGCTGCGGCGGCGTTTCGGCAGAAGATGGTGGTGGTGGCGGTGGTGATGGTGATGGTGATGGTGATGGTGATGGTGATGGTGATTGATGGTGATCGGAGGGGGACGGCGGGGAGGGGGGGGGAGGCACTTGCCTCATCCTTCTCGCCGCACTTTCAGCAGGTCAATGGCTCCTCCCACATACAGCTCCCCTAACTAAGCGTTTTTCCGACGTCCGGTGTTCGAGGCACGATCAAAAATAGCCTTTAATCCGACGACTGACAAAAGTATCGATACCAGACCGCTGGGCAGCATTAACTGTATGCGATTCTTAGATGGGCCAAATGAGAATCAAAGAACGTCTCAGTGGTCTTTTATAGTGCTCACGGAAGCACAGTATACACCGAAGCGCAGTAAGCGTGTCAGTACATCTCTGTTGACGGCAGACTAATGAAGCCGTGATAATATACGTGGCTGATATCACTCTGCACATGACGCCAAAACAAATGCAAATGACACCCCTAGTTTTTAAATCTTATAGAAATAAAACGTATCATACATGAGAATGTCCTACCTTAGCCAGTTTGGCAAGCAGACGTAAACGATGTTTGGCGTTCGCGTTCTTATTTACACATGACATTGCTGGAACCTTGGGTGGCTTTGGACCAGGCGACCAAAGCTAACGAGATTGGTACATTGGAAATGGTTTGCGTGTTTGCTGACTGTGACGCAAGCATTGCAAACCCCGATCAATTTTGGGTGAACGTTGGCGATAACGGACTGGGCTATGTGACAGTGCAGCTTTCGCGGCCCACTTTTTCCTAGCGCAGGCCACAGCGCGTTACATTTGCGGTCGCTTTCGGGAAAAAAATGTTACGTTGACGACAGCCCTGTATCCGACTGGCCGGCCGCCGGCAGCCGACGCCACTCCTTAAAACCGTCCCCAAAACGGGCAGGTGCCGCTTTGGCACACGATGGCGTGTCAGTCTGCGCACACAGGGCCACGGCTCTGTCCTCGGTGCGAATCATTGTCTCATGCTGCTGCGACGCCCCGTGTCGACATGTGGGCCCAGTTTTGAGCTGCGGTCCTCCAGCTTTTTGTGGCAGCATGCAAACATGTTATTCCGAAAAGGAAAATGCAATTACGGTTATATTGTAACCCAGCAGCCACAGGAACGCGCTGTGTAATCAAATAACCTGCACTCAAATGCACCGATGCCGTTGCTTCACAGCTTTTCAAGATTCATAGATCTAGATAGATTTAGATATATTTATAGATATAGATTTAGACCCTTTCGTGGCTCAAAGCTACATGGCAGCAAGATCAGTGGCTGAAGAGATGTAAGCTCGGCAACAGCGTGACTGGCCAGGTCGGACAGGGCCTCCGAAGTCACACAATGACCGGTTAGTTGACGTTTCAGCCAGTTTGCCCACCGGCCTCGATCGTAGCAGCGACGAAACACGGCCAACAGCCGCCGCCGCTTTGGGCTGGAGCCGCAACACAGCATCCCAGAGGAGCACCGACGCCGCGCGCCCACTGCGGGGCCTTTGAGGCCGGCTGGACGGCAGTCCGCACAGCCCTGTGTGCTCCGGCTGACACGGCCTGGTTTGTTCTGGCCGGTGTGCTCCGGCTAACACGGCCCGGTGTGCTCCGGCTGACACGGCCCGGTTTGCTCTGGCCGGCGTGCTCCGGCTAATACAGCCCGGTGTGCTCAGGCTAATACAGCCCGGTGTGCTCCGGCTAATACGGCCCGGCGTGCTCCGGTAATACAGCCCGGTCTGCTCTGGCTGACATGGCCCGTTCTGCTCTGGCTGACACGGCCCGGTGTGCTCCGACTGACACGGACCGATGGGCTCCGGCTGACACGGCCCGGTCTGCTCCAGCTGACACGGCCCCGACAGCCAGGCCGCCGCCGCCGCCGCCGCCGTCCGCACGTATGCATCATTCATAACCGGACCGCGGCGGAGGTAACAGCGGCGGCGGCGACCGGCACGCGGCGCAGCGCACGTGGCCGCGGTTCCTCTGACGCACGCCGACGTCACCGACAGTCGGCGACGCGCCGTTCTGGCGCCGGCAACGCACCGACGCGACGCGACGCGGCGTGAGGGGGGGGGGGGGGGGGCGTGCCGACGAAGCGGCGCACAGCGACGGCGGGATCAGCGGAGGGCGGCGCGGGAGCCGGCGGCGCCACCCAGCCGCGGGCGACGCTGAGCCGACCACGGCGCTCCGGCCGGCGCGGCAAAAACGGCGCACGACGGCCAGCCTGGCGGTCGACGGCTGGGAGACCCGACGGCCCGGGGGGGGGGAGGGGGGGGGGGGCACGGCGCGCCAGACTGGTGTCAGACCCGGCTGGGCCGGCAGAGAACGCGCGCCGCGCGTCCCATCACACACCGCACCACACCCCGTTTCCTTCTTGCGGCAAATCGGGCCAAACCTGGCAAATATCTCACGATAGAGCGGCCCAAGCCACGCACGCACGACGCAGTCAGATCCGCGCTGCGAGCGAAGAACCGCAAGCTAAGGAAACCGGGCACTGTAGACGACATGACTGGACTACAGCTCGTGGGTTCGACCCTTTCCAGTACCTCTGTTTCGGCTCCATGCCGCACTTGGAATGCCCTATCATGCCGCTCGTGACCACAGCGGTCCATAAGATGCAACGCTAAAAAGTCCGGGGCCAATATGTGTCAACACTGGACACCAGTCACGTCCGCAAGCAAACACCACCAGCATCAGAGGAACCGACCGCGACCGAATGCCACCTGCCGTTGGCGGCGTACTAAAGAGCGCAGACCGGGACCTGCGCTGACCGGCCCAACAAAGCGGAGAGCGGGCGCCGCCAGCTGGCGGCCCAGGCCGGCGAGCGGCGCCGGCAGCGGCCGTCCTACCTGTCAGCGGCGAGACCGAGGTCGCCGCGTCGGCAGCGCCGGGCTGTCACTGCTGAGTGCCGCCGCGCCGCCGGACCGCCGCCGTCCGATATTGCTCACCCATTTCTCGGTACACGGCGCTCCGGGACGGCGCCGCAGCGAGACTGACGAGGGAGCTGCGGCCGCCCGCCGCCAGGCGGCCGGGCGGCGCTGGCGGCGCTGGCGGCGCGGCAGTCAGCTGACTGCGCGAACGGCGGCAGCGGGACGGAGCCGGACCGGGACCGGGCGCGGTGCGAGGGGCCGGGCGGCCGGACCGGCGGAAGGGAACGGCAGGAGACGAGGTTGGACGAGGTGGAACCGAAAAACGAGCAGGAGATGAGGTGGAGATAAAGCGGAACAGAGCGGGAGCGATGGGGGACGAGCTGAGCGGGAACAGGCGAGTTGTAGACCAGTTGGAGCCAAGGAGACGAAGCGGAACCGTAAGGGAACTGAGAGCGAGCGAAACTGAACCAAGTTGGTGCTCTCCCGAAGGCAGAGCGGTGTATGTACCCGCACCAATCACCCGCAGACATGGGCCTTACCGCAATCGCAAACACGCACGCACGCACACGCACACGCACACAACATACGCACACACACACACACACGAACGCACGAACGCACGCACGGAAGAGGGCATGGGCAACGTTCCTCGCAATTATCAAATAAGATCAACCCGGTATTTTTATCCGACATATTTGAAACTTAACAACGCTTTCGTAATATCAAACACATCTCCACCATGAAGGCCTTGCGCTGTTCACAATTCAAAAGGGATACACAGTTCACGTTCAGCCGTCCTTGTCATGTCCACAAAACCCATGGGCGATGACAGCAGATAGCAGCACTAGTAATTATCTCTCCTACCCGATGAGCGCGACAGCCCATAATTGTAGGAGAGTCTATTACCCCCGCCACTCCGAAACGGAGCCTCGTGACCGGCGGAGGGTTTACGACATCGGTCTCAACCCGCTCGGACTTGGCTGAGATAAAGACGTTGGAAATAATCTGGATTCGTTCAGAAGCCCGGGTTCAAAGTCGATCGCTGGTCTCGTTTTGCCAGAAAGCGGGCGTTCGCAGATTGGATGCGACCGGCGCAACCAGGCTTCATTACAATGATTTGAGCGCGGAACAAAAAGTGGACACGAACCTCTCGGCCAGGTGGACGGCATACGTTTGATCCGATCGCTGATTGACAAGCGGAGTTAATGTGTCAATGCAGATGAATTGGAATTGCGTATAGGCAGTTGCCTGCTGCACGAGAAGTCACGAACGCTCACCAGCCATCGCTGCATGAAATATCGTACGAAATCACCGTACCTTCACTGGCGAGTCGTGTGCAGAAGCTAGGAAATGAGGTGGGACAAGTATTTGACGGCTTTTGCACGGGCACGAGACATCTCATGCAGCATCCCGATACGTAGACTTTTTGGACTGTTTTCTGCAACACGAAGAGGAAGTAATCTCCAACTCAAACATGTGCTGGAACTATGACCAACGCCCCGGTTCCAGGAACTGCGGGCCGCCGCGCAATGCCCGATAAGCTGAGCCGGACACCGGTCCACCCTCCCGCATTCTCTCCACGAGCTGCCTTTCGGCACAAGGCGGGCCCGTCCCAGCGGAGAGCACGAGCCGGTCCGTACAGCCTCGCGTCACGTACGCTGCGGTTGTACAGTCTCGCGGCTGCGTCCCACCACCACGTCCCACACGCTGGCCAGCCGGGCTGACGGGCGCCGGCTATGGCCTGTATCCTCCGGTGCGAGTCCTGCCCTGGGCGGGACGCGGCGCGCGCGTCCAAGAACGGAACAAGTAAGGAGGGGAACGAGCGCGGGCCCGCACCAGGATCCTGTCGCGGCGTCTCTGCGAATCACTCATCCCCCGACGCACATTCAACGACCACACGGCGTTCGGCAAACGTGGAAGGGTCCGCCGCGCCACCACCGCCTGCACACCAGCGGCGGCGGCCTTTACACGGCCGATCCAGTCGTGTCAATCCAACACTTGAAAAACTCGCAGACTAGTTCTCGCGGCTATTTACCGCACATTCTTCAGCAGCCAAGGACGGACGCCAACACGGCCCTGGCGCCGCCGGCGACCACGCCAGCGGTGCTGACGCCAGCGTTACGTCACTAATGCACCGCGCGGTGGCGGGTGGGACCCGGAGCAGCGGCCACACGGCGCCGCGGGTGGATCTGAATCGCTCTCAATCCTCACTCCTGTCGAGCCGAGCACAGCCGGCCTCCGCCAGTCCCGTTCCAGGCGTCGGGTCCGCAGCCGCCGCGGCCGCTCAGACGACGGCCTGACCCAACCGGGCCGGCCCGCGGCGCCAGCGGGTCAGCCCTGCCTGCCGTCATCTGCGGCCCCACAGGAAATCCCAACGAACCGGCCTAGCCAGCCGGCAGGCCCCGAGAACAGCGCCGGCCGGCTGAGGTACCGTAGTGGGGTCCGTGGCGGCCGTGGATCAGCCTGGCGGGATCACAGCGCAGCTCTGGGGTCATACCGCCGCCATCGCCGCCGCTGTCGGCTCGAGCCGGACCTGCCATCCCCAGCACTGAGAGACCGCCACCGGCTGGCCGTCCCGCGCCGCTCCAGCTGACGGCGCCGGCGACGAGAGCGATGGGTGGGGACGACGGGGTCGGCCGAGTACCCCGGGGGGACAGCAGGGAGGAACGGCGTGACGTTCTGGGGGACAGCGGGGCGGGATCACACAGCAGGTCTGTTCTAGAGGTGGCGATACTGAGACCATGGCGGGATCACACAGCAGGTCTGTTCTAGAGGTGGCGATACTGAGACAGATGGAGCAAGAAGGATCACCGTCCATCGCCGAGCCGTCCCGTTATCTGCACGGCAACGGGCCGGGCCGGGGAGGGGAGGGGCGAACAGTATCTGGGCTAGACTCCCTGACCTGGGGCCCACGGCGGAGTCTCCTGGACGTCCCGGGACCCGTCTGACAGTGTCAACAACCTGTGCCATATCGGGACCACGCCACACTCTGGGGCATCGGATTACAGCCTTTCCAATCGGACAGCAAGCCCCACAACGGCGCTACGAATATCACAGTCCTCAGAAGGAAGCCGGCCAGGGGATGCCGCTGCGCTGCGGAGCCCCCCCCCCCCCCCACACACACACCGGTGCCAGCGCCACCTGCTCCGCCCCCGCCGAAAACGGCAGTCGGGCATCCGGGCGGGGAGGGCTGCTGGAGACGCCGGCGAGTGCCGACAGGCCGACGAGACCCCCGTCCGGCGGCAGTCAGCGGCGCCACGCCGCACCGCTCCGCGCGCGCCACAAAAACCCAGCGCGCACCGTCCCCGGCTCGGCAGGGGAGGTGCCCGGCGGCAGGGCCGCGCCGGTCAAGAACGGCAGCGGATGGCACGGAGGTGTGAGCCGCGCGCTGGGGGAGTGGGCGCGCAAAACCACGCGCCATGGTGCGTCTCACCGAGTGCATGTGTGGCTCCCTACCGCAAACCGTTTAGCCTTTAAGACATGGTCAGTCCAGCGGCTCCGGCACATGTAGCCGCCTTAATCGGCTTGCGCCACGCCATCCGAAGTGTCCCGGAGGTTCGGAACGAGCTCGGCACATATTAGGAAAATGGGTCGGGGATGTGTCCCAATTCCGACCACACACCCAAACAGCGGTCTGTCTCCGACAGAGCAGGCACGGCTCCGTGCGTCTGACCGGTTTTCGCGCCGAAGGCCCACGAGCGTCGCAAAAAAGCTGCCTAGCGATGCATTTCAATCCGACGGCAGAAAACTGGCCATCAGCAGCCACCTGGCCACAAAGCCCACTCGACCCATTTCTAGAGAACCAAACCCCCCTCCCACGCATGTGTCCCGCCATACAACGCCGCTCTGCAGCTCGCCGGGTCTAGAGCTCGGACGCGGACGACAGAGCTGTCCCTCCGTCCTGCCCGAGCGGTCTCAAAAGCGGCCGGCGGCGGCGGCGGCGGCGGCGGTGGCCGGCAGCGCGCCGCACCGCCGGAGAAAGTAGCACACAAAGGGTCGTTAGGCCGGCTCGGGGGTCACCTCCGTGTCAGCGGCGCGGCGGGGCGCGCCTGCGCGCGGCGGGGTCACGACCGCCGGGACCGCCGACTCACGGACCCGGGGGTCAAACCTACGGGCCCACGGCGGTCGACTCACGGGTCCACGACAACCCACTCACGGGCCCACGGACCCACGGCGGCCGACTCACGGGCCCATGGCGACCGACTCTCGGGCCCATGGACCCACGGCGGCCGACTCACGAGCCAACGGCAGCCGACTCACGGGCCCACGACGGTCCACTCACGGACCGCCGGGCCACGACGCGTTTCGCGCGACACGTGAGCGGTCGCAGGCGATGGCCCCACGCCACTGTCACTGCGCACATGACCCGCACCTCCCGTTACGGCGGACGGCGGGGTGGAGGGGGGGGGGGGGGGGCAGAGGGGCGATAGCGTCACAGGCGCACGCTTTAGCGAGCCGCTATCCCACGCCGTGGGTCGCGCACCCTGTGTTTTACATAATCAGGCGGCCGGGGCATCACAATACCAAACAGGACAAGGTCATCCAACCCACCATCGCCCGCGTGGTGAGATGCATTTGATCGCTCTTCCTCCCACATGACTGATCCTCTCCCTCTTTACCCTCTCCCGCCCTGCTCTGTCTCCCTCGCCCTGTCTACCCTCCGTTCTCGTGCTCTCTGCCTCTATGTCCGTCTCTTCCTCCCTCTCTCTCCCCGCTCTCTCGCTCTCTCCGTCCTCGCGCGATGCATGCGCGCGCGATGCGGACGGCACAAAGCGCTCATTAACGCCCGCACCATCAGACAGCTAATGACGTCACAGTCTGGAAGCGGGACAAACTGCGTCGAACCGTGGCACCTGTGTGAAGCACGGCCCAGCGGAACGGACGACCAAATTACACGGCGCAGTGGCCGCCAAAGCGCGCTGGGCTGTGGCGGTCGCGACACGGACACTTCAGCCGCCCGGACAGGTCGGCGTCTGTCCGCCTCCAGCTCTTGCCCGTCTTTGCCGACGCTCTAATCTATGCCGAAGACGTTACGGCGTGGGGGGGGGGGGGGGGAGTGGGCGCACGACCAGTC